CAGGATATTTTCTGGAGATAACTGTGTAGTTGAAGGATTAGACCTTGAATATGGCATCACTGAAACCATTCCTTAACCAAAATTAACCAGAATTTTCTAAGAAACTTCCTGAGAGTTCACACTGAGGTACACACCCATGGTTCAAACTCAGTTTGATGTGGGTCCAAAGCTGTGTTATCTGCCATAGGACCGACCACCAACTTCTCCTAGACCCATCAGGGTTTTTTTTTTTTTTTTTTCATGTTTATTTATTTTTGAGAGAGAGAGAGAGACAGAGCATGAGTGGGGAAAGGTCAGAGAGGGAGACAGAATCCAAAGCAGGCTCCAGGCTCTGACCTGTCAGCACAGAGCCTGACATGGAGTTCAAACTCACAAATTACAAGATCATGACCTGAGGCAAAGTCGGGTGCTCAATCGACTGAGCTACGCAGGTGCCCTGACCCACCAAGCCTTTGATTCCTGTGGCCAAATCTTTCAAGGAGGAAATAAAGTACATTTTGTTGTTGTTGTTTTCTTAACTAAAGATCCTTGGATAACACTCTAATATAAATATAAGGAAAGTGAATACGTTTATTTCCACATGCTTCTAGACGATCCAGAGAAAGTGCTGAACTATGATCTCAGAAGGAAGAGGGCAGAAAAGCTAACAATGACCAGGCAGCTGCCATGTTGCGGATCCCTAGCTGGACCTTAACCCTTGATATCTCCCTCCCCCTTGAGATGACAAGTATTATTCTCTCTCTCTCTCTCTCTCTCTCTCTCTCTCTCTCTCTCTCACACACACACACACACACACACACACACACACACTCACACACACCAGGGTTCAAGAGGCTGAATAGTCAATCTGGTTACACAGTAGAGAAGAAAAAGTCCGAATGTAAAACCAGGTCTGGCCCCAAAGTTAGCGTTCTTTCTACCATACTAAGCTACCGGAAGGCGCCAGATGAAAAACTCCAGGCACTGCCCCCAGACAGGTCTGCATGCATTCATCCTGGGACACATTCCCTACCACAGCAGTCTTCTACTGGGTGGCCTAATGCTGGGTTTACCCATAACAAGAAGTGTGTCAACTGTTATTCCCTTTGATGGCAGGTAACGAACCTGAAAATGTACACTCTCGTCCTCTATCAAATTCCACTCCTGGAATCGGCGCCGTTAGACAAGCTGCATGTGTAGCGACACAATCCAATAAAAATGAAATGAAGAAACCAACTTCATTTCTTACTCCTTCCAAGCTTTCCCTTATTTGAATTGTGAATACTTCAGTTACATCTCATACATGTCCTGTCTAGAAATGCATTTTATGGTGAAATGTGCCCCTGTGTGACTTGTATTGGAAACTATTTGACTTCAACAACCTGGGTTAAAGAACTACGGTGGTAAGTTTGTGAGAAATTTTAAAGGGTCTCTTAACTTTCTTTATGCCACTCTCCCTCATGATAGATAACACACATTGTTAGGTATTCTTCTTTAGGAAATAAAATATCTGCCATGGGAACCATCTAAATCTTGCCATAGGGGGAAAATTCTTCTAGTCTATAATATGTAATAATCTGAGAAATGTACTGATGATATGTCAAACAACACACAAAAAATAATGTTAAATAACAAAGCAGGATATGAAATTGTATAAAAAGAATGATCTCAAACACATTCTGAAAAGGCAGTCCATAAGGAATTAATTTAGAATGTTAACAGCAGTTATTTTTGATTAATGGGATTATACTTGATTACTCTGTTTCTTTTAATTTTCAGTAATAAGCATATATAGTTTTTAAAAAGTCAAATGAATGTACTAAGAAAAGAAAAACATACATTTATTCATAAAGTGGCTTAAAAATTACTAGGTGTTTCCATAACACTGAAAATCATTGTAAGAAATTATAAACTTTAAATGCCAAGCACAAAGATTGTTCAAGAAACAAAAGTTATATGCCAATCATGCTGATGAATATAGATATCAAAATTCTAAGTTAAAGATTGACAAATCAAATCCATATACAGAAAATAATACATCATGAATAAACAGTATTTACCCCAGAAATGTAAATTAGAAAAACCCATCAGTAAAAGACACCACAATATAAATTATGATAAAAGAATATGTATAATTATTTAAATAAATTTAGAAAACGCATTTGATAAAATTAAACATGCAAATTCAGGATTTATTTAAAAAATACTTCCTAGACAATGATAAATGAATGAAAACTAAAAAAAATTCTCTAGTAAGAATTTACATATCACACTTACATGAAACTTAAAAGCATTTGCATTAATTGAAGATCAAGTTAAGAATACCTACTATCACTAAATACTGTACTGACCAACCCAGCCAATGCACTAAGACAAGAAAAAGAATAATTACTTAAAGGTTAAAGAAGACAGAAACCTACTTAAAAGGTTATATGTTGCTTCTATGGAAAATCAAAGAAGAGTTGGAAGAATTAGTTTACAGATTTAGTAAAGAGTATTATAATCAAGATTTAAGATCAATAAATAAACTGTTAATATTTCCTTTTAAAGTTCTACTTATTTTGGTCCAGTCAGCAACATTTGCTTAATGGAATACTTAGTGTTTCACAGTGAAAACTGAAGAATACAAAATAAATTAATCCTGTTACAGACACATTCTCTTTTTTTTTTAATGTATGTACGTGCTTTCATCGTGCCTTGAATCAAATAAGTTTATCAAGAATGCATATTATTTATCACTGTTACATAACTACAAATAATTGTAAATTCTTACTTTGGGACAAATCAGCTATGTATTTTTTAAGATCCCCTTGTAGAATGGGATAGAAGACAACAATATGATGAAAATGATGAATATGATGAAGACGAAGAAGAGGAAAATGAGGAGGAGAGAGTAGAAATGGGAGAAGAGAAACAGAGAAGAGAGAGAAGTGGAGAAGGATGACAGGGGAGAAAGGGGGTGAGAGGAAGTAAGGAGAGAAGGATAAAGGGAAAAGGGAAGGAAAAAGAGAAAAGGAAGAGGAAAAACACAGTAAAGGTGCTTTGTTGATTCTTTAATATACACCAAGTACTATACTAAGTAATGTGCCTTATTTCAATCATTCTTCATTGTAAGCCTTTGAAGTTTATAATATTCTATCCTTATTATAGGAGAGAAAACTGAGGTTCAGAGAGGTTAAGTAACATTTGAAGGTTAGACAGTTCGGAAGTGGCATCGCTAGAATTTGAATCCAGTCTGCCTGCCCGGACTCCATGGTATTGGCCATTCGCTAGCTGATACTCCTTGCATATGTATCATGCTGATTTTAGAACCATGTAAGGCATTAAGATGAGGAGGTTCTAAAAAGGTCACCTTCGTGCACCCATTCCATATCTTCAACTAAGCCAGTGTTCTGGAAACCTGAATCCTTTCCTGAGGATGCTCCTCATTTTGCATGTTAAAATTAAGAATGAAAAGATATGCAGTAAGATAGAATGCTTAATAGATTAAGCATTCAAGAGCACAAGTTTAGTGGAAAGGTTAAATTTGAAGCAAAAATATAACTTGTCAGTTTTCACTGAAAAAGTCTTTGAATCCTCGTACGTATCAGGCTTTGCAATCTTCCCCCCCAACCCCGCCCCATGTAGCAGTTCTATCAAGACCTGTTCTCTCACCCACTTGCTTTCCTTCTATTATTCTCAGCCCGTGATGCATAAAATGCAAGGTTTACATGAAGTTTTAGGAAATAAAATAGACTACTTCCAAAATATCTGTGTTTCAAGTAAATATCCATCCAAAGCAAACTTTACAATCTTTCCTGAGGTTTTGGCTGTCCAGGAGCTGCACGCGTATTACATTTATGTCCCCTGCTTCCTATAGAGTGTCAGACAAATGTCATCCCGAAACATGACTGGGCAGGCACAGCAGTGTCTCAAACAAATCACTGCCTATACAAAGCAACTAAGTGCATTCCAGTTTTCAAGTCCATATTGACAGATATGAAAGAGACCTGAAAGAGAAGTCTATTAATCCTCCTCCACACAGCTCAGAAGATGGGAGAGAGAAAGAGGTGAAACCACAGGAAACACGCACACACATAAGGTGGGATGTTGCTTACATCTAACTGCAATGAGGAGATAAACACACTGAAAGACACAGTCATAAAGCCATAGGACCCAATTCCCCAGAAAACATGAAAAGTCATAGAATTATTTTACGATCATCCTGTGTGTGCCGGTCCTCATTAACGGATATCTATGTGCTTCCTCTGGGCCAAGCACCTTCTAAGTGTTGGAGTTAAAGGGTGAATGAGAGGTCCAGTTGTGAAGGAATGTATATTACAGCGGACTAAAACACAGGACATTTTTAAAGACGTGAGATACTAACAGAGTGCTCTTGCAGCAAAAACAAAAACAACTAACCCCGTGAGGGGAGTAAGGTAAGTACTAACCTGAAGAATAAGAGGGAACAAGTCTAGGGAAAATTGGAGAGCGACCTACGGATTTCAGGCTGGATTAATCACCCAGTGGTTCTCCAAGTCTGGTCTCTAATGCAATAGCATTAATACCAGTGGGGAACTTGTTATAAACGCAGGCTTGGGTCCGACCCTAGACCCATTGAACCAAAATCTCTGGGATGAGACCTCGCAAACTGTATTTTAATGAGCCTTCCAGGTGATTCTGATGCTGCTAGAATTTGAGAGCTTTGGATAGGTGCAACAGTGAACTACAGTGGACACAATGCCTGGAGGGTAAACATGGTTGGATGGGAGGCAGGGGACTAGGCAGAGATGTTGCTGGAAGGATGGGCAGAAGGGGTATCAAAAAGGGCTTTACATGTTATGAACATAATTTTGGGATGTTACCCAAGCAATTACGGAAAGCTATTAAATATTTATTATACTACCAGTACAGAAAACAGCAAATAAAGTTGGCAACCTTTAAAAACCATATGCCATCATGAAGACAGTCCTGTACATCATTCCAGAGATAAGGCACTGCACAGATAAATAGCCAGTAAGAAAGGAACAAATCAACCCTACCTTTCTTTCTGGAGTCTTTCTTGGCGCTGGTTTTCACAGCTACTTGAAGTTCTGTCTCAGTTGACATCCTACTAAATCCTTAGTCCACTTCACACAGATCCCGGGCCTCGGCCAGGCTCATGGAGGACTCCTCTCCAAGAGAATGACTCCTCCCTTCAGACACAACGCTCCGAGCTGCACATTTCAGTCACTCCTTCCGGGTGCTGCAAACCAAGGGAGAGAATGTTCAGGATCATCACCCTTCTGAGGTGAAACAAAACTTAGTGGGAAGAGGGGAAATGGACTGTCAGACATACAAAACCAGGAAAATCCTGGTCCCCATGTACAAACTGCTCACACGATTTCATCAAGTCACCGGCGGGGTATATAGCAAAGGGAATGAGAGGTCTATCTGAAAACCTCTCTCTCAAACTAGGTACATAACTCAAAATAGATCTTTTAAAACTGGATTTTTAAGAAGGACAAAACCCAACTCCTTGTTCTCCATGCTTCTTGCTTTCAAGCACTAGATGCCACCCAGAAAATACAGCAAAGGCGTATTTCCTGAGCAACCCCGTGGAGACATTTCCAACAGCAGAGCACCCATCCATCAGCCAAGCTTGATCAGAGCCTTGGCAGCTAAAGCAGATCATAGGGAAGTGACCTGTGGTCTGTCCCTCACTGCCAGGCATCAGAGGGGACATGGAGTTGACATACAATTGGGCTCCAAGGGTAAGGTGACAAATGGGGATGAGAAACTTTCCAGCAAGCCAATTTTTATGTCAGCTTTTTCCTCAGCTATAAGAGCAGACAAGCATTTAGTGTGGGGAGTAAAAGAAAAGAATCAGACGGCCACACATTCCATTCATTCTTTCTTTAATAAATATGCATTGCACACTACTAGGTACTATTAAGTCCCGACATTGTGCTGGGAAGAGATAATAATGATAATAATGATAATACAAGCACTTCAATTACAGCTAGTATTTACTATGCACTTACTATACACTGTGCCCTCAGCTACTGCTTCACATACATTATCTCATTTGATTTCATTTAAATTGAATGAATGTATTTCCCGTGTCAAGTCAACAGTCTTTCCCAGTGACTATCTATCTGCTAGTTATATCTGAGAGTTCAGTTGAAAATAAACATTTTGCTAGTTATCCATTTTTAAAGAAAATTAAGATAAAGCTACTGGAAATGGATCTTTAAACTGTGTAGCCAATTCTTAACTCATTCCACTTAGCTAGAATGTCTGAATCCAGAAAGGCTGACCCTGAATGCCAGTTTCCGTTCAAAAAGAGTAGTAAAATGAACTTCCTAATCATGACAACTAAAGATGGCTTAACTAGAATATCTAATATAAAAGTCACCTAAAATACAGCAAGGCTTTATACCCTCTACATTCATCCATGCTGTTACAAACTTAAGAAAGGATTATGCTATGTGAAATAAGTCAGAGAAAGACAAATACCATATGATTTCATAAATACCTAGAATTTAAGAAACAAGATAAATGAAGAAGAGACAAAGAAACACATTTTTATACACAGAGAATAAACTGGTGGTTACCAGAGGGGAGGTGGGTAGGGGATGGGTAAAATCAGTGAAGAGGATTAAGGGTACACTTCTCGTGATGAGCACTGAGTAATGTACAGAGATTGAATCATTATATTGTACACCTGAAACTAACAGAACATTGTGTGTTAAATATACTTAGATTAAAAACACAAGAAAATACGTAAAATTATAGTAAGGCTCAATAATGGGGAAATTCCCACTTTATCCAAAGATACTTGGTTTATTTGTTAACAAGCTACCTATTTAAAAAAAAAAAAAAATGAAACAAACAATAACACTGGCCCTGACTGAAAAGTGTCTGAACTATAGGATGCAAAGCTACAAGCAAGGAAAATGAAAAGTTTTCTTCCTAGAATGGGATCCATAAAATCATATACAGAAAATGAGAATTTTTCCTGCCATCTTTGTGCCATCTACCTGCACTACACCTCTAGCCCGCACCCCCTTCTTAACCTATCTCCTGACAAAAGGCAACATTCCATGGAAGATGACAGAGCCACAAACCTTGGCCATACAGGGTTTTATTAGTATTGATTTATTATTACATTTTATTAATAATAAGTAATTATTAATAAATTTATTAATGAATAAATAATAAACACAAACAATATAGTTTATTAATAATACTGCAACAAATATCGACTAAGAATGTACCATGGGCCAAGTGCAAATGCTAGCTCATTCATGTCAAAAGACATCTATGCAACCACACTGGCTAAGAATACAGATTATTTCTGTCCTCAAAGATACTCAGGGGACCAGAGATGTCAGTCATGTAATGGACTGTAATACACACAACCAGAACTAAAACAGACAAATACCAGGCAAATTGGGGCACAATGGGGCAAGCACTCACCTATGCTTGGAAGAGCCAATAAAACTTATCAGGAGGAGCCTTATACTATGCAGTCTTGAAGAATAATTCTTATATTAAGTGGATAATAAGAGAAAGGACCTAACGGCTCTCAATAAATACATGTATAATAAATAAATGAATTGTAGTTTCAGGCAAAAGAATCAGCTATGTGAAGTCAGGGAGCCTTGAAATCAACAGCCTAACTAACAAAAGGAAACATAAGTCTAGTAGGGAGGTGGCATACTTTTGCATCTTCCCAATTTTTCCTTGTGCTGCTATCTTTCTATGGAATCTTTCTTCTTGAGTCTGTCTTGACATTCTGCCTTGATCCCTCAAGGTTCCGTTCAAAGAAGTAGCACAGAAGGCAGAAAGGTTTTCCAGTATCTCGATTAAATAGAATCTTGCCCTAATTGTATTATGATCTGCTTTTTGGCAAGCTGCATAGTTTAAGCCACTTACAAGCAATGTGATATTGAGGAAGTTACTCAGCCCCCTCTTTGCCTCAGTTTCTGTATCTGTACAATGGGCATAACAGTATCAACTTTATGGAGTGGCTGCAGAAATTAAGTGTAACCACACACATCACATGTTTGAAAGAGTGCCTGGCACACCTCCTGGAAAACATACAATAAATGTGAGGCAATAATAATTTCCTGTGTTAACTGCTCAAAGTCATATGGGGGTATGTGATACAAGTCCATACTATTATCCAGCCATTATAGAAGAGGAAACTAAGGCAGGTTAAGTCTACTTTGTCAGGACACTGCAGGAAGAGATAAAATCTAAGATATGTCCATTGTGCTAGTTTTGCACACAGTAGGTATCTAACACATAAATAAAAATATGAGCTGAAACATATAGATTTTACACAATTCCAAGAATTCTTAAAAGTCTGTATATAAAACTGGCTAGGAACTGGGCCATTTTGTTCCTCTTCAACTTTATATAAAAAGCACAACATAGCACCTCTCCCTATTCTGTGGGTATCTCCAGCACCACTTGTTCGACAAAACTGTGACAGTGTTCAAGTGTTACGGAGCATTACTTGTGGATTTCCGAAGTACATCCCATTATCAATAATGAAAGGAAACCAACATCATTTCAAATAAAAACTTAAATACAGAAGCTTGCAGCATGGAGGAACTGCAGGATACCATGGCCTGGACCCTGACATCCCCTTTAATTTTCCAAAAGCCAGAGGTTGGGAAAATGCCGTGAAGCAACTCCAAATTATTTGGGAAATTCATTTCTTTGTAATTAAGGAGATTAAAGTCCCTCAGGGCCAGAAACCATGTGACAACTCAAATCATTTTCCCCCAGTAAAAGCTGTGGAACCCTATCAGTTAAATTCAGGCTCGCCTAGAATTTTGAAATGCTTCAATAATGTTTCTTTGCTCCACACAATCTGCAGTAATTTAATATTCCTGAAGTGTGTCAGGTTTTTTATAATGAGCTCTTCAAATCTAAATGTGAATTATGTAACATTCCACTACAGACATTCTGTCTAGTGAACTGCTTCTAAATGTAAAATCCCATGTTCAGTGATGGGGGGGGTGTGGTTTCAGGAGGCACAAAAACACCAAACCACAAAGCAGAAAAAAAAAAAAAAGGGCTTTAAAAAAAACCAAAAAACAAAAAAGCACAAAGGTGTGAGCAGCTACAGCAGCACAACAAACTAAAACACCTACTAGAACACAAATCTGTGCTTTCTCTCCCCGCCCCCCAACCCTCTCGTAAGATCCTACAGCAGAACAGGTAACATTTATGAGGGCTCACTATTTGCCAGGTACTAACTATGCTATGAACTTCTTTTATTTAATCTTTCAACCCCTTGAAGAGTTAGATATTATTTTTAAATTTTAAAAAATTTTTAATTTATTTTTGAGAGAGAGAAAAAGCTACCGTGAGTGGGGGAGGGACAGAGAAAGAAGGAGACACAGAATCCAAAGCGGGCTCCAGGCTCTAAGGTATCAACACAGAGCCTGACGCGGGGCTTGAACTCACAAACTGCAAGATCGTGACCTGAGCCGAAGTTGGGCACATACCTGAGCCACCCAGGCACCCCAAGAGTTAGATATTATTATTTTTTTCATTTAACAAAGAAAAGCAGAAGCTGGTTTAGTAGCCTGTCCATGGTCACACGGCTATCAAGGAGCACAGAACAGGGCAGGGTACGAACTACCCTTTTCCCTCCTTCACTCAGAATACTCCTAGACGCCCATCAGCTGGTGGGTGGATAAACAAAATGTGCTATATCCATACAAAGGAGTATCAGTTCAGCCATTTAAAGGAATGAGGTACTGATAGATCCTAGGGCAACAGATGAACCTTGAAAACATCATGCCAAGTGAAAGAAGTTAAACACAAAAGGTTACACACTGTTTGATTACGAAACAGATACATCCAGGGATGGAGGGTGGATCTGTGGGTACCATGCACTGAGGGAAGCAGGGAAAGAGGAGCGCATGCTTGGCGGGTCCAGGGTCTCCTTTGGGAGTGATAAGGAGGTTTGGGAATGAGACAGAGGTGGTGGCTGCACAACACCAGAAATCTAATAAATACCACTAGATTGCACACGTTAAAATAGTTCATTGTATTTTATGTGAACTTCCCCCAAATCAAACAAAAGGAAAACAAAAGAACCTCCA